CACGACTTGGAGAACGAAAATTCGAAGTTTGTACGTTCATTTTAGTGCATATGATCACAGTCTATGAGACATTTATCGAAAACTTCGAATTTTCGTTCTCCAAGTCGTGTGATGCTCAAAATTGGTACACAAGGGTAGTTCGACATGCTCTACAACATGGGCTACACGAGAACACAATACGAGAAGTTTTAAGGTGGGTTTCGGGCCAAAAACTGATTTTTAGAGGTTTTGGTTTTTGGCCTTCCCTGGCCAGACTTGAAGTTTAATAAATTTTCTGATTGTGTAGGGTTGTAGAGAAATGTTTGCTCTATCAAACTCATGCCATACGATAACTCCATGCTATAAGAACTTTTTCAACACCATATTAAACAAACACATTCACATTTCTTTCAGTTCGAGCGACAATTTTATTATTTTATCATCATGCGTACTAGCAGCGATCGTATTAAAAACAGAGAGTCTTTTTATTGACAGAACAAAATTAATGAAAGCTCTCATTTTAAAATGTCCCATATCTCATGCACTAAAACTATTACCTTTAGATAATAGTAAATGCTATTGGACATTCTGACTTTTATGTATTGAACGAACGCAACGATTTATTCTCAGCAAAATAAAGCATAAAACTATAAGAGATAACATGAAATACATGTCATTGTAAACTCATCTAGTTTATTCTAGAATTCCAATCTGATTTGAATTCTAAATCCGACAATTCTGTATCAACTCAAAGTTCTTCTTTGAATATTTTCTTATTGCTCTATTTTATTATAGAAAAACAAACCGTGTCGAATTCAATTCAGTTTTTCTCTTTACTATAAATAAATTTTTGCTAAATGATACATATTTTAACATATTGTAGAAGTTTCTGTTAGAACGGTGACTTTATTTAACGTTATGGCGACTTTATCATATTTTATATTAAACTGTCAATGCATACAGTAAGAAAAGGTGAAAAAGAAGAACAGATATTTATTCTTTTGTTCCACTTCTTAAAAGGCAGAGCTTTATCAACCGTCAATAGTGTATGATAATAAATATTTTTATTATTTCAAACATTTAATTTCGTTTTCAAGATTTTAAAGGAAGAAATGTAAAATACAACATACGATATTTTTTCACACATTTTTATAAACATTATAAGAAAAATACTCGGACATGTCAAAGGTTAGCTTTTTAAACATTCAAAGTTCGAATCAGAATTAAATCTTATGAGCATTTATGTTCAATCTTTTTCTTTCATGCGTAGAAATCACGTACCACGTCACCGGAACCCAATGTTATACTAATTCGTAAGAATGAACTGTTCAATAATTCACAAACCAATTTGAAAGACGAGCTTGACTCACCATTTACTACGAGACATGTAAGCAATCAGCTTGTTAGTTTCGGGCAAAAACAGATGGAGTCCTACCTTTTTTTTTAATTCGGCAGTGAGTGTGAATAGCTCTGTGAAAAATAAAATACCAATTCAAATAATGATAAATACTGAGAAAGATTAAAAAATCACGATATTGTACTTGTCTTAATTATCAATCTTATGCGTATACTTCTAGAATGAGGGTGATCATAACAACATTGGATACATTAAAACTAATTCTTTTAATTCAAATGGTGATCTAAAAACAAAAATTGGAGCTGTCTCGGAAGATGACAATGCTAAACAGATAAAGATTGCTGATGATAAAAGAAGAAACTCTTCTATTAAAAACGCTAATATTGATGAAGAATCAAGCAATGATGAGGAAGATGATAATGAAGGTTTTGAAAAGTTGGATTCACAAGGCAATATGTTTGGATTAGTGTTACTTAAATTCAGACATATCCTTCTAAGATTGCTAAAGATATACAAGGTTCGTGTTGACAGACTATTTCTACAGCTACCGTCAAAGCAAAGAGATTTTTTTTATCTAGCTTGAAGCTAGTTTTTTGGAACCTTTATCTAGCTGTTACCTGATTGGACCCATGCAGATGAAAAAAGTCGTTCGAGGGCTGCGGCGAGTACTCGAAATTAGATCCTCGCCGAGGGCTCGAACCCTCGGAAAATGACACTTCGGACCCTCGATATAAGCTTTCGAGGGGTATCGATTTCGGGCCCTCGGATTTCAGATAGGTGGCGAGCTCTCGAGAAAAATTTCGAGCCGTCGAATCGAGATGTTCGGGGCTTCCGAGCCCTCGCTCTTCCGAGGATGCGATGAGGGCTCGGAAGTCTCGCACATCTCTGTTCAACGGCTCGAAATCGATACCCCTCGAGAGCCTATATCGAGGGTCTGAAGTGTCATTTTCCTAGGGTTCGAGCCCTCGGCGAAGGCCCATCGAAAGCGTATTTTCGAAGTATATACTCGAAGTACCCCTCGAACAACTGGTTGGAGAGAATGTGTCAATGAAAAAAAACTAAATGTTTCAAAAATCTAGCTTCAAGCTAGATCCCAAAAAAAACTTTTTTTGTTTAGATATTTGTATAGGAGGATTGCAGTTTTTATTAGTTAGTTTTATTATTTCAGGTTCAGATTAGATATGCATTAATTATCTTTATATCGATATTATCTATTGTTTATTTCGGATTTGCCATGTCATCACGGTTTGGTACTGTACCGTTTCCAATCAAAGGAAACGTGTTTGCAGGAAATTCAGGTGCGTTGTTTACTGTTAAGCACTATCTGCGTATGCTAAACATCTGAAATCATTGACGTCAGTTTTGAATACTAATTCTTCTTTTTAGCTTTTGCACTAGTTCTTCTTGTAATATTTTTTATATTTATTCTGCTTTGGGAGATGTTTCTTGGTGGATTTTTGGAAAAAAAAGGAAAAGTCTTATTAATATTGTGCAATAGAAATGGATCGTGTGTCAATGTCATGCGTCTGATTCGTAAATTTTTTTGGTAAGGTAATATCATACTTATTATTAATAAGATGTTATTCATTATTAGATTATTTAAGGATAAAGAATGTATTAATTCTTATTGCTATTGCCGTCTATTTGGGGCTAACTATAAAAGATGCAAGAAATTGTGTTTCATTGATCGGTGTATTTGTATTAATTTTATTGGGAACATTAGGTTTGTAAATGTTTTTATTGTCATTTTTAAATCTAATAAACAATGATCTTTCTCCTTTAATTTAAGGTTCTAAACATCCACATCGAGTAGGTAATGAAAAGATGTATTAATAAAATTAATAATCTTCTTCTACTTCGATTTAAAAAATAAAATTTAGATTCGTTGGAATACGGTTTTTTACTCGTTTGTTATCCAGTTTATATTAGCAACGTTCGTCATTCGAATTAGTGTTGGTTATGAATTTTTTAATTTTTTGGGCAATGAAGTATCAAAATTTATCAATTATGTAGAAGCAGGTGCAGTGTTTGTCTACGGGGAGAATTATGAGGATCATTTTTTTGCCTTTCGAGTGAGTAAGTCTATTTATGAGAGATTAAAGATGATCGTAATGATAAAGTGTTTTAGGTAACATCAATTATCATATTTCTTGGCTCTGTTATTAATGTTCTGTATTATTTGGGTGCAATGCAATGGATTATTGGAAAAATAGCTTGGCTAATGCAAAAGATACTAGATACAACAGCAGCAGAGGTAAAAATCATATTGTTATCGCAGATACTGAATAAAAACATTCATACTTTTATTCTAGTCAATGAATGCAGCTGCTAATATATTTGTGGGAATGAGTGAAGCACCGTTGATGATTATGCCATTACTTCCAAATATGACTGTGTCTGAACTCCATGTAACAAATATAACTATTCACCATATATTTGTGAAATATCTCATCTCTGTTTGAATAATGTAGGCGGTACTCGTTGGAGGTTTTGCGACTATGGCTGGTAGTGTTTTAGCTACATTCATATTTTTTGGTGTAAGTCAATATATCAGTTATTTGTATGTTTAACTTTTTTATCTGCATATTTAGGTACCGGCAAATCATTTAATTGCTGCAAGTGTCATGGCAGCACCCGGTGCTCTCGGTTTTGCAAAATTATTACTACCTGAAACTCATAAATCAAAAACAACGTGGGAAATAGTGAAAAATGTCCAGTTACCGTTAGTCATCGTTCGTAATCATGATGTTGTTTAAAATATTGAATAGTATAGTTTCTATGTTTCAGACAACAACACAATGTAATTGATGCTTTGTTAACTGGTATGAAATAGATTTGTAGTTAGTTGTTTAGGTTACTACTCATTTTTTTTTCAGGTGCCGGTAACGCGTTGAAAGTTTGTGGATATTTGATTGCAAACTTAGTCGCTTTTATCAGGTACAGTAGTCTAATTAATCTCATCTCTAATTGAGTATACATCATGCTTAGCGTTTTTAGTGTTTTAAAATTTCTTGATGTTACAATCTCGTGGTTATTCACATTTATACATCATCCGGAAATCAATTTTCAATATCTTCTTGGACTGTTGTTTTATCCGTTTGCCGTTATTACTGGTATACCTATACGAGATTGTCTAGTGTCATCGAAGTTAATCGGTATCAAAGTAGCGTTAAATGAATTTATCGCTTACGAGAAACTTGGAGAAATTCGAAAACTTCGTACAGCATGGATTAGTAATGGAACATATGAATTATATCGCAATGGCACATTGCCAATACCCACTGATACTCTTATGCTTTGGAATGTAAGTGAAAGATACATTTGTAATTCTGTTGAAAATAATTTTTCTATTATTATTTTTAGGACAGTTCGGTTACTATACTCACATACGCATTATGTGGTAAGCTAACAAAATGTATTTGAAATTCTGTAGACAAACAAGCTTTCATTTAGGTTTTGCAAATATTTCATCTATGGGAATATGTCTGGCTACTTTGGGTACATTTGCACCTCAAAGAAAAAAAGCTTTAACAAAGATCGCTATACGAGCTCTAATAGGTAAAACAAGCTATAGATTATTAATGAAAAGTAATACCACTCACTGTTTTCTAATTTGAAGCCGGCAATATGGTCTCATTGCTAACAGCAAGTATAGCCGGTAAGTAGAATGTAGTCAATGTGACGAATAAACTGACATACCACATACCACATAGGATAAGAGAAAATAAAAAAACGGGTTTTATTTTACAAACAGTCATAATTGGTATGTGGTGATATTCATTTTTAGGTCTATTGCATGATCCAACAAGCTCGACTTAAAATTACTGATAATGACAGGATCAACATGATCTATGCGATGTTCGTAAATATCAATGTAACTCATACGCTGAATGTTTTATATGTCATTTTTATATTCTATGTTTGCTGTTAGCATAGAATTTTGTACATTTAATAAAGTATACTATTGTATCTGAAAATAATCATTTGATCTGAAATATTTCACGCTTCAGCAGTGGCATCGGATTTACTGGAAATCCCGAGGCTGATCTAACTTGATCTATCTCAAAACTAATTAAAAATAGATTATCGATCAAATTGAATCTCACAGCAATGTTTGTTTTGCAGAAAAAAGTTAAAAATTTAGTTGATTTAAGCTGGAATATCTCGATTTTCACAAAATTTATTAAAAATTCATAACTTGTGTAAAATCGATCAAAACGATTTGAAAAAATCTGAATATAATTAGTTTTGAATTATATTCACTTGCTCATATAGTGCAAAAGGAGACTCTTCGAAAGTTCATTTACAAAAAAAAGACTTATTTTGTCAGTTTTTTGCTAGAATATTTAAATTTTTAATCAAACGTTTCTGTTTGGTCGTCGAATTGATAAACTATGTAACTTGGATGATATTAGTCACCGAAGTCAACAGGAAATGTTAACCACGTTTTTTAACGAAAAAATCAATTAAACAGTGAAAAAGCAAAAAAAACTATTGTAAACTAGCTTTGAACTGTTGAACCTTGCTTTTTTGTGATTAGTAAGTGCCACATTTCAACTTAACTAAAACCTTTTAGTAAAAATGCTAACTCTGACAAACCTGTACGTGTCGCTTTTTTTTAATATTTATTATCGTTCTGAATCGAGATAATATAAATTTAAAAACAGTGTCAAGTTTCAAATTTTGAAATTTACTTTAAATTCAGAAAAGACGCTTGTTAAGGTGAAAATGTGTCTTCAAAATAATCTATGAACAGTTCTTTTTCCATGTGTGATATTACAGAATGAGTAAACGATGACTATAATTCATTCATAAAGGTAAATAAAGGATGTTAAAAAGAATTTTACTTTGATTTGTCCTCATTAAAAGATAAAATTCATTAGTTCATCGGTAAACATCAGTTTCTTTTAGTCTAATTAAATCGGACAGAATAAAATTTTGAAAATGTTGTGTTGTCCTATCCTGAATCGAATCCAATTCATTTTTTATAATTGATTTTGGACTCTGTAAAACATATTATACTATCATCCTCAAACACTATTCGGACTGTGAATGTCTTAAGCAAAAACTAATAAATATTCTCTCTGAAAAACATTATGTCAATTTTAATTTATTAATATTCATGTAATTTGTGCATTTTTCACAACAATATATCAAATAACAACAATTTGACAACATCATTACTCCACTATAATCTACCTTCAAAATTTTTTTTTTACTTCTTTTTTAAGACGAAGCATTTAAAAAAAGAAAAAGATAAGATGTTATAGTTCAAGGTATTTCTTGACTAAATTGAGATTACACTCAAAGGGTCACCAAATATTCATACGTAAATAACATTTTATTGTTCAAGTTGTAAAAGAATATTCAATAACTGATGTGATGCGATGTGACAATAGTTCAGAGGTCATTATGAACTAATAAGTCATGTTGTTCAGTTGATCGAGGTTAGATTGTTTTTAGTGTTTGATACACTAGTGTTAAACATGCATTACCATAAATTATGAGAATACACAAATGTGTCAGACATATATTTTAGATTTTTCCTTGGTGTACCTCTCTAATCATGACGCCAATGCCTAATTTATCATTAAATAAACAATCTTCATCTATTAAACAAACACGATTTCGATATTTAAATGAGAATGAACATAAAAAGGGTCGATTACGTATTAATTCGAGAGAATGACAACGAATGCATAATTTAGATAAGGCAATAGAGTAATTACGATATATTTTATTCCTTTATTTCCTGATAAACATAGATTATCAAAATTATCTACTGTGTTATTAGTTCGAGACTATATTGTTTCACTGGATGTATAAATGGAGATATTATGACATATTCTGCAGGCAACATTACCATCATCATTAACGACTTCGTCTTTAACAGATCAGTCATCAACATATACGAAATATCCTCAAAAATCCTACATTCAAAAAGAATGACATAACTGAGATTTGTTCTCTCTAAAAACAGGGGATCATCTTCCCAGAAACGATGTATAGTATGATCTTTACTTTTGATTGATAAACATGGACATGCCTTTTTTCTTATAATTTTTAATTATTTTAAACAAACAATAATATGCGTCATCACTGAATTATGTCAGTAATACAATGAAATTCAGTTTTTTATCAACCAGTTTTCTAAGTACTATGCAAAGATTGTGCAAGAGGAGATAATAGAAAAAAATGACAAAGAATGATATCAGAGTTAGTCAGTTGATATGAATTTTTCAGTTTTTGTTTGATTTTTTCAGGATGTGGAGAGACTCTCTCTCTCTCTCTCTCTCTTTAGTAACATAATCTGCTGAATGAAGTTGTAAGTACTTAATAGGATAGAAACTAATACTATTCTTCATAGAACGCATTGATTCAAATATCAAGTTGAAAGATAACACTAAACATATACAAAAAAAAGCAGAAAAAGAGATAAAAGGAGAATAACGTATCATTCTTTTTCGTAGCGTAATATATTAATAGAAACAAGACTGATTGGGGAATGTTATCAAGCGTCAAACAGAAAACTCAACAACAGCGTCACATTCCAAAGATCTGCTAGATTCTCATGCTTTCTTCTTGTTTTTAACAACGTATTTTTTTTTCATAAGTCTCGTATTTATCCAAGTTGGTGCTCTCGTCTTCGTTAAATTGTTACACCATAAAAATCCTAATAATCAACATATGCAGTTCGACTGTTTATATTATAAACGGGTAATCAGCTGTCGAAATAATTTGAGACAATCAACAAGTAGTACTAAAAGCTATAGTTCGATTGAATAGGTAGCATCTTCTTAAAGATTCAATTCTCTTTAACAATTGAAATTGTGAGAGAACCAATTATTCATCGGTTTTTTGCATGAAATTGACAATGACTGATAATGAAATATTTAATGAAAAAGAACAAAGACGAGAGGAAGCAAGATTAATTAAGTGAGACAACTTGATGCACGAGAATCGAGTGATATTCAATTCATTCAAATGATGAAAATTTAAAATATCAACTTCGAGTTAAGCAATATACATTTGCAAAATAAAACATCTGCAAAAACAGATCTCGTTCAAGAAAAGGGTCAGGCAAATAAATATTAAAAAAAAATAGCAATTAGTCTATGAAGATTACTAAGGAAAATTGACTACGCTGGACCACCTCTCTAAAACAAAAAACACCATTACAACAATGATGACAGCTAGATGAGAGTAGATGAAACGAACCGTTACTAAATCTATTTCATCTTGTGTCAATGGTCTTCTACGATATCGTTTCGGTAATTCTGTAAATTCAACTGTTGGTGATTTTTCAGTAATTTTCCACATGTTGATGGACGTTCCTGATGGAGACTTTGACTCATTTTCATTTATCGTTTTTGAATGAGCAATTGAACCTAACAGAAAAAAGATATGAAATATTTTTTAAATAGAAAGTAAATAAAAACTTAACAGAAGAATTTGTACCTGTTCCATTGCTACCAAATTTAAATTTTATCAATGGAACATGATGACGAAGAATTTTCTACAAAAATAATGAAAGCGAACTACTGTATATAAAGAAACATTGTTTGAAATAAAATCTCCTGCCTATACCTGAAGATTAGTCGACGCTACACTTGCCATCGTATTCACTAACACAATAAAAGGCTTATCATCTAAGAGAGGCACACGTCAATTTCTCTCGATTTTATCAATCTGAAAAATTAGAAAAATATAAAAATGTTAGAAATAACGTTAAATTTTTGATATAACAGAAGACCTTTTCATTAGTCTGAATTGTAAAAGATTTATAGTATTTAATAAAAAAACGTTGTACAATAAAAAGTTGACTGAAAAGATCACTGTGATATGTACAACGAAAACAAAAACATAACAAAATTTCGCTTGAGAAATTTGATTACCATTAACTAAAATTACGTGTACTAGTTATTGTTGCAATTATTTAGTTCAAAGAATATTCACTTTCATCTTCAGTTTTTCACTCTGACGTTTTTCTTCTTCTTCTAATTTTCTCGTTGTTTCTTGTTCTTTTTAAATCCAAAGCTCGATGATCATCTATCTTAACTCAAGGGACATCCCATTGTTTTGAGAATATAACATCATATCAATATACAAATAAACAATAAATGGCATAATGTACTTTCTCATCGATTTCTTGAAAAGGATCAACGAAAACAATTGTACCCTCAACAACAATATCTTCCTACGGAAAAAAAAGACTTTTATGGATTAATAAACGGAGCAAATTATTGGTTATTTGTGAAATATCTCTTGAATCACTCAAAATAGCTTCCATTCTAATCAGTGTTTCTATATCACGGATGATTCTAAACAAATAGTAATAGGTAGTAAGTTAATTGGAAGAGTATTTTTAACATTCTCATCATACTTTCCAAATACTATATGTTTTCAATTGAAACTTTTACATGATCAATATGTGAAGAAACTAAAAAGATGTAGATATGTAAGATGTGTAAAATTAAAAAACTAGAAATAATATGAACCTTTTCTCTTTGACTTTGCTATTCAAGCCGATCGTATATCTTTTTCATCTAATTCTCCTGTTTCTATATGCGTTACTGGCTCCATTATCGTTGATATAAACGATATTGCCAATCAACTTGTTGAATATGTGGATATATTTACACTATCAGTTTTTGTTATTGTTGTTGATTCACTGTTTCTTAAATTGTTGTTTATAGAAATTCTTGTACAGAGATTAGGGTTTCCAGAGAACAATATGGGTATTCAACTGGTTGAAACGTAATTGAACAGCATGAAAATATGAACAATAGTCAGTCTCACCATATCTGTTCGAAAAAGACTAAAGTGATCTAATACAATTCTGAAAAGTAAATAAACAAACATGCCATGAGAGATGTGGTAAAAACTTTTACACATTTACTCTATTCAGTTCACACGAAAGGAATATTAGTACACAAAATCGGCGTATATGTAATTTATGGATTAGACATATCGTGTGTGAAGGAGCATAATTTGGCACCTTGCAGACCTTAACATTCCTTTATTCCAAAAAATCCAGACGCAAAAACGTTTGATCTATCTGAAATTGTATTTGTGGGATCACTCCCATTATTTCCATAATCACGAATGTTATACACCATTCGAAAGCAAGCTTTTGGATTGTATCCAAACGAAATAATTCTTTTTCGATCATTAGTGAGCTCATAAAGTTTGTACATATAAACTCTTATTCGGCTTATCTTCCCTAATATAAGCTTACTAAATTTCGCCTTGTACTCTTTTACCCTTTCTTACATTAGGTGATTTTGTACGCCTGAGTAACTCTTTTTTGGAGTGTACAGCAGGGAGTATCAGATTCGTCAAGCCTCACCTTTAACTGAGACCTGTCTTGTTTGAACTTTGCTTGGACCGATGATATAGAACCACATCTTTCACCTGTTCTATTTCTACCATGAAGAAAAAAAGAAAAAATTAAAGAGATTTCCCATTCGTTCCTACTGTGCAATAGAAAGATGTCTGCATTATACTTAATAGTGTCCAAGAAACGAGGGTATCAGGAAAAAATATAAATCAGAAAAATTTTTACCGAATAATTTACCGGTTTACCGTTATCGTATGACTTTTGTCTCTTCGATTTTTTTGAAACATTTTTAGGGTAAACGATGTGAGTATTGAGAACGAGAGAAATTTGTGAATATTGCATATTCGAATAAATTCTTTCTTTGTTTACGTTTTCGTACGTTGAGGATTTTTCGCTATTAGTGATATTTTCATGAATTTTTGAATGCATGGAGAAACAGTTAAATTATTATTACTCATATGATAGTTACTGTTCTAAGTTATTACTCACTTACTTTTTTGTAACTGTTCATGGCCTTATGTTACTGAATGAACTTTGATTTGATTTGATTTTTCAAGCTTAACCATTCGACAGATTTGCAGCGCCACCTACAAGAAGCTTTTGCGATACTCAAAATTTCATTCTAGTTTCTAGTTATGCCTTTTCCAAGACACAGGTGGCGAAAGTGATATGTTCAATTATCAAAGTGCCGACATAGCCTAGTTTTTATCCAACCGATAGAAATTTTCCTTTAGAGCGTGTATCTCTGTTCTCTCTTTTTTTTTGTCGTGTTTCTTTCTTTCTCATTGTCGAGGAAGAATAAAACAAGAAGACCAACCTGTTTGAAATAGGTATTCGCGAGATTTTCTAAGTTTCACTGGTATATACAAAAGCAACAGAATGATTTTTGCCTAGGAGGACTGCCTCAGAAAATTGCGTTTCTGTAACGACTACACGTACCTCATACTTTCCTTATTTATACCTGAGTGAAAGTTAGTGCCTTCCACAAAAACTTTTTCAGAAAAATATTTCTCTCACTTCTTGCCATAAGACATTGTTTTACCGAACAATAGTGCTGCTTTGCAAAAATGTTGTTTAAGTTGCTTGTTAAGTGGTAATCTTCCTTTCTATATAGCACTTTGGTCGTTTCTGTTTCATCCTTTTTCACGTCATATGTGACGTTATGATGACATACATATATAGATCATATGTTTATAGTGACTTTTGTCCTTCTTTTGACGTCATAATGTCATGTTATGTCTTGATCTACTGACATCATTAGTCTGGTCAGTAGTAAATGTCATGCACTTTCCTGTTTTTCTGACGTCATATTCTATGTAGTTCTTATGATGTGATTAGTCTCCTGCTTTCTCGTGTGTCCAATGGATGTATGTGCGTCATTTGCAACTTTATTGTACAATTGAGTTTTTGTCGTATTTTTAAAATTACCCCAATTTCTGGAAACGGATTTCGAAATTCTTTTTTTTGTTTTATCGCTGTTTGCTTGCTTCACTACCACAGAAAATCTAAGCTCGATATCTCAACAACTCACCGAGATAAACCCAGCAAAAGTCGAAAAAAACATTTTTTTTAGATGAGTTATTGAGTGAAAAGTAAGTTTTTCTAACAAAAGAAGGAACGAAAAGCAATAGTACGTTTTGTATAGCATTTAATGCTCTATCAAACTGTGTGCCTTCATGCTTGTTTTGTTTTTTTGTTTATGCTCGTATATGGCGAAAATTGTTTTACAGACAACTTGTAGATCGAGATAAAAATAAAACTAGGCACTTGAGAAAACGTCTTTTGGGAATGTGAGGTGTTCATAAGAAAGAGCAAGGGTGGCTGCATCTAACTGAGTAAAAATGCTTTGTTAAATGTCTTTCTTACCGGGCGAAAAAATGGAAAACAGAGTTTTACGTTCACTTTGTAGATCGAGATTTTCCAGCTTTTGACATCCGCTGTTTTACAAGGATTTGTCTGATGGAACAGCGTTGACCCACAAGAAAGAGTGTCAAAAGTTGTACAAGTGGTGCAATTTGCAAGTCTCTAGAACATACCTAAGTAGGAAAAAATTACAATACACCGCTAAATGTAGATCGAGATTACTCTAAAAGTTTTTTCGGTTCTTTTAGTCAAAAACCAAGTTATAACATCAATTTTGACTCCTTATATTCTGCTGAACCTATCTATCCATAAATTTACGTAGTTT